ACTATATATATATATATATATATATATATATATATATATATATATATATATTGGGTTGTCGGAAAAGTCATGACGCATTTTGTAACAGATGGCGCTAGTTCATTTTAGAAGAGTCATTTGCATCTATGTTATTGCTATGTCATTTGACAGCTGACAATTTTAACTCATTCTAAAAAAAATTGAGCGATTTGATTGAGTTTTGAAGATTTTATAACAAGAAGATGGAAGATCAAATTGTATATTTTCGCCATATATTACTGTTTACTTCCGTAAAGGGAAGAACGTACGTCAAGCTTGTGAAAAGTTGCGTAAAGTTTACGGTGACAACGCTCTACAAGAACGTCAGTGCCAACGATGATTCACGAAATTTCATGCTGATGATTTTGACCTCAATGACGCTCCTCGATTAGGGAGGTCTACCGAGGTTGATGACGACAAAATAAAGGCATTGATGTTGAGTCAGACTCATTACATGATACGAGAGAGAGTGCAGAAATATTGAACATCCATCATTCACGATCACCTGAAGAAGCTGGGATACGTAAGCAAGCTCAATATTTGGGTTCCTCATGAACTCAAAGAAATTTATTTGACGGCGCGTATAAACATCTGCGATATGCTCATTAAACGTGAGGAAAATGATTCTTTTTTGAAGCGACTGATAACTGGTGATGAGAAGTGGATTGTTCACAACAATGTGGTGCGCAAACGGTCTTGACGTGATGATTCGCTTCAAACGATATCAACAGAAAGTTATGCTCTCAGTGTGATAGGATTTTAAAGGTGTCGTGTTTTTCGAGTTCCTACCAAGGAACCGAACAATCAATTCGAATGTGTACTGTCGGCAATTGAACAGTTTGAACGAATCCATCATCCAGAAACGTCCAGAGCTCGTTATTCGTAAAGGAGTTGTGTTCCATCACGACAACGCGAGATCACACACAAGTTTGATCACCCATCAAAAATTATTGAAGCTTGGATGGGATGTGTTGCCACACTCACCATACTCGCCTGACCTTGCGCCGTCAGACTTCCACTTGTTTCGCTCTCTTCAAAACTCCTTGCATGATATAACGTTTAATAGATGAGGCTATAAATCAACCTTGTTCAGTTTTTCGCTGATAAAGACAAGTCCTTCTATGAACGAGAAATTATGAAACTTACTGAAAGATGACAAAAGATTATCGAACAAAACAGGCAATATATTGATTGATCTTTGTTCTTTATATAAATAAATGACCTTTGAAAAACATAGAAAAAATACATCATGATTTTTCCGAAAACCCAATATATATATATATATGTATATATATATTACCAATATATATATATATATATATATATATATATATATAGA